TAGATAGATAGATAGATAGATAGATAGATAGATAGATAGATAGATAGATAGATAGATAGATAGAAATACAAGAAAATTCTGAATCTGAGTGCTGAAATGTGCTGAAAAAGCTAACTTACAGAACATAAGCTAAATGAGACAGACAATAGTTAAAATGAAACCGAACGCTAGTTAAAACCTCACACAAAGCTAAATGTAACAGAATGGTAGCTAAAATCTAATTGGTGCTAAAAGCTTAAACCTGCAACAGCTAACTAAAAGTAGCGAGATTACTAGTAGCAAAACGCTAATTAAAAGTAGAGGAATGGTAATTTATAGCTTTAAGTAACACAACAATAGCTAAAAGCTAAACGAGACACTAACAAAAAGGAGCAAAACACTACTTATAAATAGCAAAACACTCTTTAAAATGAGCAAAGTTSTATCTAAAAGCTCAAATTAAAATACAGCCAAAAGCTTATAGTTGCACAAAGCTAACTAGATGCTTAAGTAGCAAAAAGCTGGCTAAAAGTAACRCAATGGTAGCTAAAAGCTAAACAAAACAAATGCCAAGCTAAAAGCAGCAAAGGGTTAACTTAAATTATCAAAAAGTGAGCTAAAAGCTACAATATATAAAAAGCTAAAAACAGCAAAAAAAATTAGGTAAAAGCAGCAAAAAGCTAGCTAAAAATAGCAAAAGTCTAACTAAAAGTAAAATAGCTGAAGTTTAAAACACAGAGGGAACAGGATGAATAATGAAAGCTCTCTGCTCTTGGCGGGTGATGAAGCTGATGTTCTGTCTCTTCGTCCTCAGTGGGTCCTCACATCGGCAGGTACTGCGGCCACACGTCTCCCGGCAGAGTCATCTCCTACACGGGCGTCCTGTCCATGACCATCACCACCGACACCGCCATCGCCAAGGAGGGCTTCTCAGCCAACTACACCATCCGAGAGCGGAGCGTCCTCCCTGAAGACGAGGGTGAGCCGTTCACCAGGAGCMTTAAAAAAAAGTTTTTTTATTTGAGATGAACTGAAGTTACTGTGAATCAACAGCAGCAGCTCTTTGATCTGAATCTAATCACGTTATTTTAAATTATTCAGCATCAGATTATTTATAAAAGAAAGTTTTCATTCTAATCAGTTTGACCCAGTTTCAGTTCTAATCTGTTTCTGCTGAATAAAAAATCTGTTTGATCAATTTTACATCAAGATATTTTCACAAACTTACAGTTTCTCTGATTCAGTTCTGGTTATTTTTATTTATTTWTTATTTTTCGCTTYGAAAAGAGGCCATTTATCAGCGTCGGTACGACCTTACTGGAACAAGATTTAATGTTTGTTGAACCGGATGGTTTTTGCTCTCCGGTGACCTTTGACCCCGGGTCACCYCGGTAAGGAATGTGAGAGTGTTCAAAGGTGAGTTTACCTAGAGGTCCTGAGGGGGCAGATGTGAGTGCYCTGGGGAGAAAACTGACATGAAAATTGATTTTATGTAAAACGTTTAAAAGAGCAGCTCCGTGTTTGTAGCTGTGTCCCGACAGAAAGAACAAATAAAGACCAAAAGATTAAATTACCACAAAAAAACAMGTAAAACACAATATTTACCACGTCCTACAGCATATATACAAACCACAACAATTGATTTGTGATGGCAGTTTACATTTTTCTACCATTATTTTGAAGCAGAAGTAAAAAGCAATTATTTTATTATCCTATATTAGTATATTTGCTGTGTGTGTACACAGATTATGAGTTGTTATATTGAGTTTTTAACTGTTTTCAAACAGCTGTACTCTGTTGATAAAGGAGCTCCTTAATTCAATTTCCTCCAGGATTCACGACTGCAAACTGTTGGTTAATGGATCAGATCAGCTAAAAGCACCGACTGTAGAAGAAGCAATTCAGACATTCTGTTTATTAAGCTAATTATGTTCGTAATCAACTTTATTCTAATGTTAAAGTGTTTGATGATGCTTTACTGAGAGCAGGAAGTTGATAGTTACCTCTCCACTGATGTTTGGACAGACTTCGCCTGCATGGAACCCCTGGGCATGGAGTCAGGGGAAATCCCCTCGGACCAGATCTCGGCCTCCTCCAAGTACAACTCGAACTGGTCCCCGGAGCGCTCGCGCCTCAACTACCAGGAGAACGGCTGGACGCCATCGGACGACAGCGTCAGGGAGTGGATACAGGTTGGTGGTTTGGTTTTAAACCTTTACAATCTCAAAGTGGGGAAAAATTGCAGCTATAAATGTATTTTAAGAATAAAATTCACAGGTTTTTACAAAATTTAATTCCAAATAAAACAAATTGTATTTAGAGTTTAATCCTGTCCCGCTGAGCTCTTCGACACATCTGTTCTGAATATTCATCACACATCATTTCTGCATGTTAGAGAAAAACAAAACAACTTGAATTATTTATTGATGCTTCTAAACTACAGTTAACCTTATCGTCACCGTATAATCTGACAACAGCATGTGGATGCAAACATTAAAAATAGCTTGTTTTTGTGTTGTTCCTTAGTTTCAAAGCTACTCACCTGAACACTAAAGAGGTTGGGACTAAATCAGGCGAATGTCTAAATGTTTTAGATGCATTTTTAATACATGATCATAAAATAAACCATTCGGGTAGGGTGAAGGCTGTGAATGATAATCTAAAAATAATTTTATGTTCAGTCTAAAACCAAATAAACAAAACAAAAAACTTTGTAACCCCAAAAGATTCATAACCCTAAATCTTTGTAAATGCATAAACCTGACCAAGTCTAGATTCATAAACCTGTCAAAGTAGAGATTCATAATCCTGACCAAGTCTAGATTCATAATCCTGACCAAGTCTAGATTCATAAACCTGACCAAGTCTAGATTCATAATCCTGACCAAGTCTAGATTCATAAACCTGTCAAAGTCTAGATTCATAAACCTGACAAAGTAGAGATTCATAATCCTGACCAAGTCTAGATTCATAATCCTGACCAAGTCTAGATTCATAAACCTGACCAAGTCTAGATTCATAAACCTGACAAAGTAGAGATTCATAATCCTGACCAAGTCTAGATTCATAATCCTGACCAAGTCTAGATTCATAATCCTGACCAAGTCTAGATTCCTAATCCTGACCAAGTCTAGATTCCTAATCCTGACTGTCTAGATTCATAATCCTGACCAAGTCTAGATTCATAATCCTGACCAAGTCTAGATTCATAATCTTGACCAAGTCTAGATTCCTAATCCTGACCAAGTCTAGATTCCTAATCCCGACCAAGTCTAGATTCCTAATCCTGACCAAGTCTAGATTGATGAACCTGACCAAGTCTAGATTCATGAACCTGACCAAGTTTAGATTGATGAACCTGACCAAGTCTAGATTCATGAACCTGACTATAGATGCTCTAACTGAATCAAGTGCAAATTACATCAAATGTTACACATTTGTGTTTTAGGAAATTTGTGAAAAGTCTACGACGTAAGAGAAATAAATTTAAATTCATAAACAATATGATTTTTAAACATAGTTTGAACCAAAAACAAAAAACAAATCCAATGGGAGATTGTCCTCCAGTCAGATGAACTGAACCAATATAGAAGTAGGGCTGGAGTCCCGGACCGTCCCATTGTCCAGGACAGGAACTCATAGAGGAAGACCCACAATAACCCGTCCAGGACAGGAACTCATAGAGGAAGACCCACAATAACCCGTGTTACAGAAGCAGACCTCACTTCCCTCCTGTGAGGGGGTCCGACAGGAAGCAGACAGGAAAATGGCCTCAGCACCGGAGCAGTCATTGTGGCTTTCTATTGTCTGTCTGGGGACTTGGTTCAGCTTCTGGCTCACAGCTGGAGCCTCTGGGATGTTAGGAAACGAAGGGCAGAAATGTAATTGAGGTTAATGGTCTGTATGGAAGCAGGGAAGTTTACCCCAAAGTCACAGAAATGGTAGAAAATGGAGCATAGAGTGTATTAAAACACATCTCTTTCCTTGTAGCAACACAAGACTTTAAACATTTCCTGTTTCTTGCTTTATGCTCCTAAATGAAAGCCAGCATGTTCTGTGATTTACCCAGGCACACAAATTACACATTTATATTTCATGGTATGCAACAATTTGAGAGTGTGGGAGCGTTTCTCTCCAGCTCTCTCCGGACTTTTCCCATCAGTCCTCGGCGGTTGTTAAATCAGCAGGAGGTGATGACAGACTCTGTTCATCTGGTCACAAGATTTACGGCAGCAGGCTCTGGTGTCTCCAGCCTCTCCAGGCCAGATTAGCACGTGAAGACAGCTTTCCATGCATTTGTGTGTTTTTGTTTTGTGAAAGTTAAGTTCGGCTAAAGCTTTTTTGGCAGCCGCTCCTTAAGAAACACCAGACCCTCCCSCCTCTGCCTGGGTGATTTATTACTTTTAGAAGCGGTCCTGTTGCTCTGCCTCATTGAGTCATTTGACTTATGAGTGGTGGTTTTTGTAGAGAGGACTTTCCATTTTATTAGATTAAATGTAGACAACATTGCTCTCCTTACGGCTTTATCGTTTTTTTGAAAGAAAAATTATGATTGGGTTAATTCAAGCATGCRTGTCCCACTTTGAATGCGGGCGACTCCATTATTAATTTACGGACATTTATATTTTATTGGTGCTATTTTTTGGGTTACTATTCATAATGTTGCCCTGTGGCACAGACAGTGAGCTCATTGTGTAGCTTTATTGTAAATCTGTAATCGTATTTCTCACCACGGTGACTYATTTCATCAGCATGCTGTTGAAATTAAATTTTAACCTCCTCCTCGTGTCTGTAAACCCGATTTATTTAATCAAAATTAACGCTAGAGGATGAGRAAGATTCAGCTAAAATGCCCACAGGTGCCCCAGCACACCTGGGAGTTTTATGGAGTTTGGATCTGGTCCATGAGAAGCAGATCCTGAGGTGAGAAGCTTCTTCTGGAGCACAGCTGCTGCACTTCTTTATCAAACGGTGTCAGCTGAGGTGGGGCAGGTCAGGAATGGGAGAAGACCCCAAAGGAAAAAAATCCAGAATTCTGAGGGATTTTATAATTTTTCTGGCCTGAGGACACCCAAGGATCCCCCAGATGATGCTGTGGAGAGGAGGGATCTCAGGATGTCTTTTTCCTCCTCGACCCAAACAAGGATGGATGGATGGATGGATGGATGGATGGATGGATGGATGGATGGATGGATGGATGGATGGATGGATGGATAGATTGATTTACCAGGCAAGTCCCTGATAGATAGATTGATAGATGGATGGATTGATTGATATATGGATGGATATATGGATGGATGGATGGATGGATGGATATATGGATGGATGGATGGATGGATGGATGGATGGATGGATATAGGAATGAATGGATGGATGGATGGATGAGTGATTGGATGGATGGATGGATGGATGGATATAGGAATGAATGGGTGGATGGATGGATGAGTGATTGGATGGATGGATGGATGGATGGATATAGGAATGAATGGGTGGATGGATGGATGAGTGATT